CGGCATTTGGGGCTTGTTAGCCTCGAAAGGAGGCAAACAAGAGGGGACCTGACTGAGGAGGACAAAACCACGCATGGTATGGAACAGGTGGACAAGGAGAAGCTCTTTCCCCCTTCCCCAAAGACTAGAACCGGAAGTCACCCAATTAAACTGAATCCTGGAAGAACCAGGACAGAGAAAAGGAAACATCTGTTTATACCATGCAGAATTCAACTTTGGCATTCGCTATCATGAGGACTGGCGCTGGATACCAGCTGGGCTGCTCCTAAAGAAGGTTGGGCCAATTCAGGGAAGTCCAGATTTGGGATCTGGGGAGACCCTCCCGGGAGCAGGGGCAGAACTAGCGAAGCTCTTGTGTCTGCCTGGAGGGGGGGAAGAGAAGGGCAGAAGAAGTGGGGAGGCGCGTCCTTGTGATGGAAGAAGAGAAAATGGCTTTTGTTTTTGGAGAAGATTTACCTCAGCAAAAAGCAGTCTACAGTTTGCTCACAGCCCTACCGTAAATAAGACTCCTTTAAACTGAATCTTGTGCCCCCAAAGATGTTGGGGGGGCTGCCAAGGAAGGGCTTCCCCCCTTAAGGGCAGCCCCACCGAGAGGACAGTGCAGGAGATCAGCCATGGTGCACCACTGCTGAGAAGACACGGCAGTCCGACCGGCTCAGGAAGGGCCCCAAATGGGGGGTCTCTTCCTTTTCTCTCCTTCCCCCCCAAGATGGGAAGGAGGCTGGAAGTGGTCTTTGGCCCCCCCAAAAGCCCCAGCCCCACTTGGCATCCCTGGCCTCTTCTTCCAACTGGAGGAAGAGAAGAGGCTCCTGGCCTTTGGGCCCCACTCGCCCCTCCAAAAAGGGGGGGGGCAGAAATGCTTGTCCTTGGAGGGAATGAGCCTGGGGGGGATCTGGTCTCCCCAGCTGGATCTGCACTTGATCCCTCATTTCTCTGAGGTGAAAACAGAAGGACAAGGATCAGCTTCCACCAGGATCTTCTTAGGATCCACTTGCCTTCTGGGGAGGGGGAGACCTGTTATCCCCTTCCTCCCCCACAGCATCCTCCATCAAGGCCAGGCTCTCTGTTTTTCCTGGGGGAGAATCGGGGGGGAGGAGAGTTTGGTCTGTTCTTTACCTTTATATCACTCCTGTGCTATATAATTTTTTTTTTTTTACTTTAAAAACATTTTTAAACTAAATATATATATATATTATATAGCACAGGAGCAATATAAAGTAAAGAACAGACCAAAGTCTCCTCCCCCCCGATTCTTCCCCAGGAAAGACAGAGAGCCTGGCCTTGATGGAGGATGCTGTGGGGGAGGAAGGGGATAACAGGTCTCCCCCTCCCCGGAAGGCAAG